GGTGAATTCTGTGGACATTTCTTAAAGATGTTGTCAACTTATCTTCGAATTTGGTGCATAGTTTATGGTCATTTTTAGTAGTGAAGCACTGTTTGTAGTTATGATGTGCTATGCTGCCCATAAAAGTAACTGATATTCAAAGTAGCAGATTGTGTTTTTCGGGCATCTTACGCCTGTTATCATTTTTCATGTACTTCAAGTGTGCATTTGACTGTCATGGTGTTCTAAAATATAGTAACTTTTTACCTCATTAAGGGGGATTGATAACCATAGTTCCCTAGATCTTAAGTTCGTTTTATTGAGTTTCTCTCAATCCTGACAATCCCTAGATGTTAAGTTGGTTTTGTAATTGTAGAGATATTATTGAAAACATCAAAGGTAGTAACATTGTCTTCATTTGCCGATGGAGCATTTGGATGTTTCGCTTAAAGAAGAGAGCAAATAGTTCCTCACCTTTGTTATACCCCATGAAAAGGAAAAGCTATTAAAGGTAAACAATGCAGGTTATTTTTTATTTTTATTTTTTAATTGGTGAAATTTTGTTTATTGAAGTTATCTGTGCAAGATTATGATGTATATGATCATGTGACACCACTTAATGTGTTTGCTTTTATCTACTATGTCAATTAGTTGTATGACAAGCGTTTTTAATAGTTTGGGTGTTATTTCATACAGTTACTACAAGGATGATTGTATTTGTAGAGTTTTTTTCGAATTCAAATGAATGTAAATGGTTGGCTGCTTCTTAACTGATTTTTATTTTGTAAGTCAGTCTATTATCGACTTCTATTTCTCATCAGTCACTTTGAAACTTCTGTCTACCTATTGGTTCAGTGGCAAGTTCCAATGAATTTGGCAAGAAACTGAAAAGGTGGCCTGAAATGAACTATGAACTTCAAAAGTCATTTGGAAATTTGCATAAGTTCTGTGAATATGTTGGGTAATTACCATAAAATTAGTTTATATCATTTTGATTGTCTACACAGAATCGTTGGAGATAAGGGAACTCATGAGCCATTTTTGGCTGTGATGCTCAAGTTAATAATCACAGAATTGAACCATTCTTTGCTACTGATTGATCATTTGGATATTCACTTTCCTGACCACCTCCAAAGATTCATCTTTTTACTCCAAAAATTCAATTTTTAACTAAAAGGGCCTTCCTAGAATTGCATAATATAAACAATGGAAAGTAACTACAAAATTTTTTTGTTAAATTTGTGTGCCTACCTATAAAATATGTAATGGGTGTTGTTTGTTTTATTTCACACCAAGTGTACTTCAAGTGTGCATATGAGTGTTTCGACCGGAGAAAGAACCAGAATGAGATCGGTATGTTTTATATTTCTCTGGAAATTAATTGATTGAAATTTAAGTAGGACTAACAGAGTTGGTCAAAGGCGATGTATGAATCAGCTTCACCTATGTTACCAATTGTTGTCCTATTTTCTGCATATCAGATGTGGTATCTAATTCTGACATAAATGGCTATTTCCAATTCCAATGGAATAGAGGAAATAACAGAAGGAAAGTAACATATTCTGGGGTAAAAAAATAAATGTTTGATTTTGTACCAACAGTAGCTATGATATGTTTGTTCTTCCAGAATCTTAAAGCGTTATAAGTATTTTTCGTTACAGTTGAACCTCAGATTGCAGGTTGATAGCTTCCATCAGCCGTATTTGGAGCAGAGGCTAGCAGAAGCAAAGTTGTCTTTACCTAATATAGTGAAAACTCAAGTTGCTTGTGGTGTATCTAATGCTCACAGTATACCTTCTTTTGAAGTCTGGATTTTGTATAGTCTTGAAACTCTTCAAATTTTCATCTTGTTAGCAACCAATATAACAATTACATTATCTGAAGATTCTGTTTGCTTTAAAAAATTAGTTCCAGATAGTTGATTGTCGAATTTAGTTACAATCTAGTGACGAAAGTAAGACGGGCATGATTCATTAAAATTTGTTTTCTACGCATTATCAGAAAATAATTTTCATTTTGTTGAATATTTATTAGTTTCCGTTGGATATGTGCTTGATGATTGGTAATTTTTAGTTTGTTATAATTCCGAAAGCTTCTTTCTGTAAAGGTTTTTTCATGTAATCTATTCATGTGAAGTAGATGATCCTTTGTCTATTTTCGAATTTGAAGGATTAGGAGATTGATTTACTACTCTTGACCGTCATTCACAGCAAGTTTTGAAAGGCTGTAGATTGATGGCATAATCTTTATTATTTCTTTCTTCAACCTGATAGTGAAACCTGATAGGTTCACTTTGCGAAAAGGATATATCTTTGTTTCTTGTTTATTAAGCAAGTTTTTATCCAAAATAGTCTGTTTAAGCTGCACTGTATTCATAACCTGTGATATGTTAGGGATTATAGTGGATGTCGGATTTAACAAGTTGTAAAATAATAACTGGTTCTCAAAGATGTCTTATCAGACAATCTCTCATGTCCATTGTTGTCGTTGAGTTTCATCTTATATTATATTCTCAGCAAAATTTCTAAAGCTGATATTTTCATATTGATCTTAAATTGTTTATAATTATCAATTACAAGATCCTTATGAGATATACCATTACTTAATTCCTGTGGTTAACAGAGTGAAATTGCTTTTTCTTTTTTCCAGGACAATATATAATCTCGTGAAGTCACCTGCTTATTGCCTCTCCATATTGCAGATAACAGTTTTAGTGTTGCTCCCCCGGTTTATTTTCAAAGTTTTCCATCTGACGTGTTCCTATATGGTGGGCATATATCTGCACAAGTTTGTTCTTTTGTGCCATGTCATTAGCATTCAGGCATAAAAAAATCATCTGTAAGTCCAACCTTTTTTCCCTGTAAGTTTGTGTTGCAAGATATTGATACGAAATTTACATTAGTCCAAACTTATTCTCATTTAACAGGCAAAATTTAAGAGTTCAATCATTTACTCCAAAAATAATGGTTTAATAGTTCAGAATGCATGCTTAAATCCTATCAATTCTCATTTTACCGAAAAACATATTCTTCCTGAAGCATGCAGTTTCCTGAAGTAATTTAACCTGATTTTATATTGCTCATTATCCATATTAGTAACACATATTAGATGAAATTTTGACCAATGTATATATGTATGCATATATGTTTAATTTGACAAAGTTTAAATATTACATTTCATGCATTGGAGGGAATTTTAAGGTTTTGTAGTTATGAACTTAATATTATACATCTTATGTGATTTACTAACCATTAATTGGTTGATATTTTACACAAGTTATTCAATTGCAATATTAAATGTGACGTGAAAACAAAATTATAGCTCATTATACATAACTAGTATTCATCCTGTGCATGTGCACAGATGTACATAAAATATTATAAGTAATATGTATGAATTTAATATTAAAATTATAGATAATAAACATATCACATTTTCAAGATATGTGAATTTAATATTAAAATTCTAGATAATGGACATACCACATTTTCAAGATTTAATCATTAGTAAAAATAAAATAATATTGATATAAATTATTTGAGTACATATGAATCACTATATTGATTAAAAAAATTTGTGGGTAATGTAATTTTATAATTTGGAGGGATCGTGGTCAAACAATTTATTTGAAAACTTTATTATTATTATTATTATTATTATTATTATTATTATTATTATTATTATTATTATTATTATTATTATTATAGTAGTTAATGCTATTATTTTTCTTTTTGCTATTATACTATAATAGTTAATGTTATTAATTTTTTTACATGATTACATTTAATATGGTGTATTAATGTAAAATGCAAAATATGAATGACAAATTTTGTAACTTCTTTTGGAGGGAAAATTAATGAGGTTTTATTAATAAGATTTTATTTATTAGGTAAAATTAATTGGTTAGCTAGCATATAGATGTTGATATGTGTTCTTGCAGTACAAAAAGTAAAATATAAATGATTAGTAACGGTTTAATGCTGATTTGATTTTGTAGTAAAAATAAAAAATAAATGATTAGTAACGGTTTTAGGAGGTTTAATGCTGATTTGATTTTGTAGTAAAAAATAAAAAATAAATGATTAGTAACTGTTTTAGGAGGGAATATGCCACGTAGGTATAATTTAAGAGGTTTTCTTAAATGCTAGCAGCCGGTAATTATATATATATAGATATGAAACTTTTAATTTAAATCAATTTATTTATTAAGTGAAACATAAAATATTAATCGCGGTGATTATCATTTACATGTGTGGTTCTTAACTTTATTTTCAACTATTGTTTATCACTAACTTTCATGTCTCTCTCTGTATATGCAGTCAATAAGAAACATTGGAGTTTCATGCTTTGTGTTATATGTTTTGAATAAAAAACGCAGGTAACACTATTTTTCTCAATATTTTGAACGTTTTTATATGTATTTTTTTCAGGAATATTTGAGTTATTGGATTTGAAGTGGTTTTGTGTAAGATATCATCTTATTTGTTAGATGAATAAACCCGTGCTGATCACATCACACATGTTGTTGCATTCAGCAGCTTATTGAGATGACAAGGGATTTATTATTAAGTTTGTTGCATTTCTGTGTTATGTACTTTATGCTATAAAGAAAATTCAATGTGTTAAACTCAGCTATTATATTGGTGATTTTTAATTATTTGGTTATATAGAGTAATTCAATCTCCTTTAAGCTTCTTTCATTTTAATTTTTAATTTTTAGGTAACTTGGTAGAAATTATCTATCTAAAGAAACTTCTCTTAATCACGCATTTTATTATACTCACGTTAACGATTTTTTTAACCTCTGTTAATCATATATGTTATGGAATACATTAAAGAAACCTTATATAATCTGACTAAAGTAGTGTCCTGTTTTTCGAATTTAATACACAAAATCTCGACAAGATATTTCTTTACTTTCGTTTATATTTTTGTTTTTTCACTTCTCTTGCTAATTTTTATATATTAATTTTTTTTTATTAAATTTATTGTTCTTTGTCACAATGATTTATTTTGTAAAGGATCTTATCAAGTTTTAGCATGACTCGAAGATCATCTACAAGTGATTTGTCAACAGGTAATTAATATATATATATAATTATATATACATATTTATAAGCATTTTTTTCATGTATTATATCATATAATAATTTAACTAATAAAAAATCATATTAAATTATTTATGCAAGTTATACACCATAAAAAAATTGATAGTAGACATATTCATCATACTATTTATTTTGTATGGTATATATATATTTTTTTTAACATTTTTATTCATTTGTATCACAGTGAAGGATGTATATCGACGTAGAAATGCGGCTAAGATGAAAAGAAAATACAACGATTTAGATGCTTATCAGAAGCAACTGTATTGTGTTAAAAAAAATAAACATCGCAAGGGTCAAAACATGGGTGTTGCATGTCTTCATACAGATGAAGTTTCATCCGAACCTAAAGGTTAGAGATATTTAATCCTCTAATACAAAATATATACATGTTTTTGCTAGATCTAAATGAGTAATATATGTTGCTTTTAATCCTCTATTTGTCATTATGTTTGATTCACCCATAAATATAACTATTAAAATTTCCTGTATTTAATGTGATTTACTTGAGATATATTAATAGTACTCTATTATTATTGTACATAGAAAAAATAAATTAACCATTTCATTCATTTATTTTATTTAATAAATAATTGTTATTTGTCATTTTTTAGGTTCAATTATCAAAGGGAATGTATGTTTAGCTATACATGAGTTGGAAAAAAATGCCCAATTGTATACATTGCGGTGCAATGAAATTTCAGTACGAGTGTCAAACATTTTGTTGTGATAATGGAAAAGTCAAACTTGCTCCTATTGAAGTGCCTGATGAACTATATGAATTGTTCACTTCACAAACGGAAGAGGGAAAACAATTTCGAATAAACATTCGTCTATTTAACAGTATGTTCTCTTTCACATCATTAGGGGTAAAATTAGATAAAGAACTTGCATCTGCAAGACAAGGAGTCTATACTTTTCGAGCTCAGGGAGTAGTTTATCATGATCTTCCTAGCTTATTGCCTAAAGAAGATGGCCCTTGTTATTTCTAGTTGTACTTTGTGGAAACAGAACGAGAGGTCGACAATAGGATGGGCATATTTCCAAACTCTTCTTTATCTAAATCTACAGTTAAGAAACTCATTAACGTTTTAGATGTAAACTCATATGCAAAAGTTTTTAGAAGATTGAAGGACTATCCATCAATGGATGAAGTTTGACTGCATATCTCAAAGGATGCAAAATTAGACCAGCGCGTGTATAATTGTCCGACAACTGATCAAGTCGCAGCAATATGGGTTGAAGGAAATAATGTTAATATTCATTCCCTTTGAACGTGACATTGTCATTCATGCACATTCAGGTTCTACACATAGAATAAAGCATTATTTTGGATGTTATGATTCACTGCAATATCCCCTCCTTTTTCCAAGAGGTGATGGTGGTTGACATCAAAAAAATTTCAAGTTAGCTTCTGATGAAAATTCTACGCAGAAAGAAGGTACAATATTATTTTTTTTTTATGTTTAGTGCTTTGTATTTTATATATTGATATGACATTTTATTTTGTTTTATTTTTTTTTCCATTCCGTTTTCAGATACAAATCTCTCATTAATCTCAAGTCTTTCTTCTCCGAATGACATTCTTTCTCATGAATGTCAAGGTATGCAATTGTACACATTATTGTTGCAAATATATTATTGATTATATTTATTTATTTTTTTTTACTATTGAAACCTGATTTTATAAATAATTGAAATCTTTATTGTTTGGTTAAATTTTTATTTATTGTATTGTGATAAATTATTTTCTTACTTATTCATTGTATATTATTTACAGTTATTGGAAAAGAAAGCCCCAAAAAAGTACCATGCAGAGAATATAGTTGCTACAGACTACAAATCAGAACTCCTAGAGAATCAACACTTCTCCTTGGTCAAAGACTATTTCAACAGTATGTTGTTGACATGTATATAAAACTGGAGACAACAAGATTAGATTATTTTCGCCATAATCAATCAAACATGAGAGCTGAAACATACCAAGGAATTAAAGATAGTGTTAAAAAGGGAGAGAGTAGAGGAAGTGAAGTCGGAAAAAGAATCGTGCTGCCTGCATCATTTATTGGAGGACCAAGAGATATGCGTCGTAGGTATCTTGATGCATTAGCATTGGTGCAAAATTTGGAAAACCAGATTTATTTATTACAATGACTTGCAATCCAGATTGGATAGAGATACAAGAGTTGTTGTATGAAGGGCAACGAGCCCAAGATCGTCTGGATTTGACGTCATGTAACACCCCGCCTTATCGTAAAATCAGAGTGCGAAAATTTCGCAAAGTTATTTAAAAATAAAATCTTTTACTTTGCGAAAATTGATTCGGGGTGCTACCTTAAAACGTGACTTATTTTGGAAAACCGTTATCTTAATTTTTAATAAAATCATACTGTTACTGAAAGCATAAAGTTTTCCAAAAGTCCGGTCAAAATATAAGTTCATCAAAACCATCGTCAGCGGAAACGTAAATCGTTATAATATATACACAATCAAAACACAAAAATCCTGAAGCCTTCATCATCTCACGCTCCCTGCCCGACATCCTGACCTGAAAAACATGATAAAAGTGGGAAATGAGCACTATGGCACTGTGCTCCGTGGAAACTCATACTAATATAAACATTGAAAATAATAACAACATCATGATCTTGGCATATATATAACCTCAACATGAAACCGGTAATAACATGAACATGAATCTGATATCGTCACGCAAACGTGACCCTGACCGTTACCTCATCTGCCGGCAAGAACTAATGCCGGACACCATGTGCACACTCTAGTGGGCAGACTAGGGCCACTAGAACCCAGAATGGACCGGCGACCATTCCGAGCAGATACATGACATGAAATACATACCTCAAACATGGTACCGTAATTATAATCAATGTAGTACTTAGTCTGAGTCCCCACCTGATCCGTGAAAATAAAGGCAGTGCTGATACTCGTGACCTGATCAAACTGAAATATAACATGAACAATTACTATTGACTATGCTCAGACTGTTAACTTAACTGATTAATTTCGTTAAGATGCTCTACTGAACCTGACATGATATTTTAGACTTAACCAGAACTGAACTGACATGAACTGATCGGACATGAACTTACTGAACTGAACTGAAATTATCCCAGAAATTTAACTGAAATGGAACTTAAAATGCGAACTGGGATTAAAATAATATTATTTGGGTCAAACCGGTATTAACCGGTCTGAACCGGTCTGGCCGGACCGTCGGTCTGCTCGGACCGGTCGGCCGGCGGCTGTCTCGGTTCACGGCCTGCCAAGGCTGCGGCCACGGCTGCTGGCGGAACTGGTGCGGGCACGGCCGTTGCGGCCTGCCTGCCATGGCCATGGCCGGGGGTGCTGCGTGCACCTGACCACGGTTGGGCATGCACTGGGCGTGGCGTGGCTGCTGCACGGCTTACGGTGCGACGCTGGCTACGGACGTGCGTGCCGACATGCAACTGAACGCCGCGGGCGTGCGCTGTGCCTTCCCGCAACACTGGCTACTCGAGCAGGCTACTGCCGAAGCCATCATCATGCGACGTTGCGCGCTGGCGTGCGTTACCGCATGCTGGCGCGCTTGACTGGGCGTTGGCGTGCACAGGCGCACTGCCAACGGCTAATCGCAGCGGGTACTGATCACACGCAGTACCTGCCGCGCATACCTGCACTATCCGCACACTGCCCGCTGTGTTGGGTGACTGCTGAGCGTGGCTGCCGCTATGTGCGGACAGCACGGCCTACGACCGACCCTTGCCGGTCGTCCGGCACTAACTCCCGTGCATTCTGACCTCTTTTTAACATAATTTGACTCTACATGAACATAATCGCTGAAATCACTTGAAAATATGATTTTTCACACAAACAACTGAATGGGCCGTGGCGAGCGCGCCGTGCGCCGCCGACGGCGATAGGCCGTCTCTCGACCAATTCACTTTTCCCTCGGCAACTCAAGACCAAATTGAACATGAAACATCATTTTGAGGCTATCAAGACATAAATCACACGGACAAACTTGACCCTAACTGAAAGTAACATAACATGACATGAAGTAGCCCGTGGCCATGCGCGATGTGCGATGCCAACAGCCGTGAGCCAATTCATGAATAAAACAGCATTTTGTCTCGACTATCATCAAGTAACTGAATATAAAATGAAGTAAACTGATCAATTAAACATAAATGGTTTGTGAGTTGCTGGGTAAAACGAGAAGTTACTCGATCACGACTTAGCTAGGCATTAACCGAACCTTAACATGGCATAGCTATGAACTCTTGAACATAATTCGAACATTACTACCTAAAATGAACTTATTGCCATAAAAATAAGTTGAGGATGGCTATACCTCCTCAAGTGCTCGACGGAAATCCAAACTGATCGTAGTCTCCCTTGTGCGATGCCCGTGCGTGCGTTGCTACTACCGTGCGATACTTTGCCGTGCGTGGAACGGAACAACTTAACAATCTGCTGGGTATTATAGCTGAACTTAAAGCTTAAATGGTACCAGATATAGGCTGGAAGTTGGGAAAAATATTGCCCCAAACACCTTACTTATGAAAACCAAAGAGAAAATAGATGGTATACTTGCTTATGCTTAAGGATTTACCAAAAATTCTAACTTCTTAATAGCATAGAAAGCTAATATGCACGAGCTGCTATATAGGTTGAGAAGAAATGGGAAAATTTTTGCCAACTCCTCCTTTATATATAAACCGAAAGGTGAGGCCACTAATTTGAGGATGATGTAGATGCTTTGTGGCTTAGCTAAACACTTGACACTTGGATACTCATTGAGCACATTAGGGATGACTAATCCCTCTTATAACTTCCCAAGGAGACACGTAACATTACTTAATGAGAAGAGAAAAAAAATGCTTCCTTAAAGCTTAGGAATTGAATTTACAAATTGGGAAATTCCTTACAACAAAATCCGTACGGCTTTGTGAAAATTGGAACAATTAGCACGGCCTTATAAGGCATTTGGAATAAATTGCTACGGCTAATGATCTTAACTTAGTGATTAATATATAATTAATCACCTATTTATGCTTAATTAACTTTTAAGCATAATACTCAATTACCAAAATTATTCTGAACGTAAACGGTACGTCGAAAATAATTTTCGGTAATCTCGACTGAAAATAATTAATTCCGAAAATTAATACTTGACAATATTAACGAATCGGAATTAAAGCATAATTTATACTGATAAAAATAACGGGATATTACAATCCTCCCTCCTTACAAAATTTTTGTCCTCGGAAATTCAAAACGTAGCTGAATATACATGAACTATGTACATAGGATAAGAAAATATGTACATCAGAACTGAAAATCTGGAAAACG